TAGTGTATTGCTTTTGAATGAATCAGAGATTAATCTGTCTGGAAGATAAATCTGTGATACATTTAAAAAAATTAAGAATTTAGGATGCATCAAAACAAAGAAAGTAAAGTGAGGTAGTCAGCAGGTTATTTTTTTTCCCTCTGTGTGGCAGATCGTTAGGAAAGCTTCTGTTTTGTGAGATCCATATAGACAGAAGGACCCTTGAGGGGCCGCTGCATTATGGACAGCTTTTGCTTCACATGTTCTCACCCGTCTACACCATACATGTCTGATTGCATGCAAACTATACAGGGGAGGCCAGGGAGAGCCAGCTGGCTCCCATTGAATTTTTCAGGAGGTGATGATTTAGAGAGCTCCATGTGGTTGGCGTGTACGTTATCCCTTTCAATTATACCGCTGTGTGTCATGAGTGAGACAATTCCCTCGTAAAAGTGGTGAAAATATCAAGTACTTCAGAGCAGATAATGATCTGCTTTCATCATGATAATCAGCAGAAAGCAGTGACAACTGTGACTGTGAGTTTCATCCAGTTGTGGTTTGAAGGGGGTTTCCTGCGGACGGCAGGCCAGACTACCACTCGATGTTCAGACGGTGTTTTTATTACATCACTTATATCACCGAGTTATAAAGCAGCTAGACAGCAGGGGTAGAGTCTTAGGTCAGGTGGTCCAAGGACTGAGCCCTGACGTCCTAGTTATCAGCTTTTTCTTTGCTCTGCTCTTCAAAGCATGAAAGGCAGAACAATGAAATACCCTTTCACTAGGTGGCAGCAGATGGCTATGAAAACTAAAAAGATAATCAGAGCTGTTGAAGAAGATCTTTGTGAGTGTCTTTCTTCAATTCCTGCCAGTATATCAGTGTTGTCTTCAACTAAACAGGCTGAGGTTTCAGTCAATTATGAGGTCATTTAAACTAGAAGATTATTATATTTCATTACTTTTTGTGAGATTTTTGTTTGGTGGTGTGTCCTGGGTTTTTTCCTGATTTCCTTACATATGGCTTGGCTCCAAAAAGGTTGGGAACCACTGGTTTGGAGTAGATGGTGTGCATCAGAGAGGGACTAGATCAATTAAAAGGTATCGGCATGTAGTGGTATAGTAGTAGTATTATTAGTCTCCGTGTTATGTATATTTCATGAAGCAGTTTTGTGCACTACAGATTGGACGACAGGTCAGAGTGAGAAGTCATCCTTGGAGGCAGTCATCAGTGTTGTATTTAACCCGACCTCCTGAGGGACGTGCTCTAATTGGAGAAAACAAAGGGATTATCATTGGAGCCTGAGTCTTTTCCGGTTTGCCGTCCCTGGAGTGGATTTCTCTCCCACTGGTGTGTGTTCAGGCACAGTGATTTGAAAATAAGGTGACACGAGAGGAGCTCAGTCCGTCGCTCTCTCATCTGGCGGTGTTTTCTATTTGTGTCAGCCAACATGTGTTTCTCATGATGGGACCTGACACCTCCCCTGAAGCATGGAAAGCGACAAAGTGGAGTGGCGATGGCAGAAACATCATGGAGTACACACTGGTTCACACAAATGTCTGCAGAAGCAATGTAGAATCAGATGGTCAGAATTTTTAAATTTTTTTTTTTTTGGCAGCTAAAGAAAAGCAATCTTAAAAGTGACGATGACCTCTGCATGTGGAGTTATACGTGATGGATGGATGAAAACTATTTGTCTGTGTGGATGGAGGGACTGTGATGGCTGTTGCATAGTGGGAAGTGTTACTTAACAAATGTGACGTCTATAAGAATTGAAAATTCACAGTGATCAGCTGAGTCAACGGTATTTTAATCTGTCCGTAAAGTGTTGGATGCAAACAAGGACACAAAAGAAAATGATGAATGAAGAATCTCAGCTGCTGAGGATTTCTGTGATGAAAGAAGAATCTCAGCTGCTGAGGATTTCTGTGGTTTTATGACACAACGTTAGACTGTGCATCTTCAAAGAGAGCCAGCTACAGTGGTTCTCAAAGAGGGGGGCGAGTCCACCCTGGTGATTGCAGAGCTCTTACAGGGGGTAAAGCAAGGCAAATTAATAATAATTCATTCATTTTTCCTCCTTTTGTCTAATAACGTAACGTAACGGATAACAAAAGAAAATGGATGGATGGATAATTAATAATAATCCATACATTTTTTTGTTCTTTTTATTTATTTATTTTTTTAACCAAAATCACTGGTCGAGTGCGGCCACAGGTCTGCTACCATCTTCTGGTGAAATTTAAAAAGAGCTTTTTGTATGCTGTTATTTCATACTGTGGTCAACAGTGCAGGCAGGTCACATATTGATTTTAAGACAGAGGCTCCAGGACTGTAGACATTTTAACATGGAACACAATTGGCTTGCGGGCCAGACTTTGGACATGCCTTGGTTACACCAACCACCTGCGTGTGACAGTAGGAAGAGACAGATGATTGGAATGGCGTTTTGATGCTATTTTGAAGCTTCAGTAGGGGGCGCTGTAGTAAAAGTTCGGGAACCACTGCTCTGAAGTGACCTGACTGAGGCAACCATTGACATTGGCAGTGAAGTGGTGGGCGCAGCAAGGAATTAATGTCTCTGTCTCAGCGTGAGCTGTTTGCAGATGCACAGTCATAGTTCATGTGAAACTGCTCCGAGTCACTGGTGAAGTGTGATCCAACAGAACCAGTCAGAGCTGCATCACAGACAATAACCTTTATTTATTCCATTTCGTCCTCACTGAATGGTAAAACTGCAAAAGTTGCTAATGAAAGACCAGACAGTGTTGGTGATGAATTAACTCCAACTTCCTTTCTCTTCTGGAGTGTGATGTTTTCTCCTAAACTTTTCTAAAAAAAAGAAAAACAAAGTGAGGGGGAGGGGGGTATTTCGAAGTCATTTGGAACTCTTAAACTTTTCTAAAAAAAAAAAGAAAAACAAAGTGAGGGAGGGAGGGGGGTATTTCGAAGTCATTTGGGTTTTAAAAATGCCAGCAGGTGTAGCACCTACTCTGGGAGCAGGGAGGTAGACACACGTGCACGCGCGTGCACGCTCACTTATGACTCATCTAAACTAAAGCACTCTGTCCATTCACATTACAGACGGGCGGGAACGCGCAGACTCAATCTCAGCTCAGAGCGCCACATTTATACTGAGCCTGACTATATAAGTCCATTCAGCTTCTACTCTTTTAAGTAACTCGTATATACTCGTTTCCTCTGAGGAGTAGCAGGAGGACCATCTCCACGACCAACTGGCAACCTGCTCGGTTTGTGCTGGACCTCCTCTAAGGACTGAAGGTATGGAACGGTTTCATTTCCTTTTCTTTTTTTTTAATTTTCGCCACATTGAGACTTTGTCACCGCAGTCTGTTTGAAAGAAAACCTAGAGTTAAATGAAAAATGTTGACTTTTAGAGGAAGAGAAGACGAGAGTTAGAGTTAGTCCATCATCCATCCATGTGTCCATCACCGAGCCAGTGACTCTTTACGCACCAAGATTGAGCAACGCGGAGAAAGGTTTCGATTTCGATTTATGATAAGAAGGAAATGAAACACGTCCTGTAACAATAATGAAAGTGTGATATTTAGTTTTCTACTCAAAGAGTCATTTAATTGCGTGTTTTTGTGCGTAAAAATCCTCTTTACGCAGCGCATTTCGCGTCAAATAAAAAATAAAAAATAAAAAGCGATCTTATCACGTAAAAATAATCCAAATATATTTTTCTCTCCATTCTTCCACAGATTCCTGTTGATATCCTGACATGAAGCTCAATTTTCTTGGTACCACCGTGATTCTGCTTGTTGCTTTCTTACCGCGCCACGAATGTCGGGCTATTGACAGTCCTGGCGGTCCACTGCGCGTCCCAGCCCCCCAGTCCCAAAACTCCCTGCAGCTGCAGCAGCATCAGTCTGGTCCGATCCTGGAGCGGCTCGGAGAGGAGTATTTCCTCCGACTTGGAAATGG